AATATCATGACTTAACAACAATTAATCACAATTGGAAATAAAGATAGAGATTCTAAGACTTACCAAGTCTTCCTCATAGTCTATCATCAAGGTCTTACCATCAACCTATAACTCAACCCAATTTGGGGAGTAACATCGTCACACAATGATAAATAATAAGATAACAAGGCCAATTACATCTCTATAACACAATTCAACTTTAGATCACAACTTGAGGCAAGATACATAGTCTAATTTCACCTTTACAATTCATAATATAAATCAAATCTCAAGAACTAGCATGATAGTCCTATAATTCATCTTAATATAATCATAATAACACCAAAGGATAGTAATTTAATCAACAACCAACTAAACTGAATGATCACAATACAATATAGGTCAAGATCACTACCTTGGTTAGGATGAAGGATCATATTCTTCAATTTAGACCAAACCATCAACAATTACCATAAACAAGTTCAATTAAATGTTAATATACTCAATATACCCTAGATAAATCATCAACTCCTCAATTCACAACTTCACTTTCATAATTGAATGAAACCCATTAGAAAACTCAACTTTTTGAAATCTATTTTGGAGGGACCCTTTGAGGAAAGAGTCCCAAAGGTGAATAGAACCCATACCTTAATGTTTTGTCAAAAATTTGATGGTTAATTCGTCCCTTCCCATCCCCCAAACCCTAGTCCTTGCTAGTCTTCAACGGTGAGTTCATGTAGAGAGAGAAATAAGAGAGAAGGAAGAGAGTTTATTTGAGAGTTGTGTTTAGATTAATGAGGGTTGAGAGTATTTATATTGGGACTTAATAAACTTAATTAGTCTTCATTTATTCCCTAACTAACCCTTAAACCATTTAATTAAATAAATAAGACCAACTTTAATCAGGCAGAAAACTCGAACCTCACATACGAAACCCCGTTCGATGGACTGTCTGTGAGTACACGAACAGCCCCCCTCTCCTCCATCTTGCACTCCATCGTCTTGGTCAGTGACTTTGCAGGTGAGGGATTCCTCTAAATTTTCTAAGTGTGGGACGATGGTGGCATCGATGCCCCGTCGATCTACACACGGACTGTAGCACGCATCTCTACACTTCGTCGATAAGTTCAGAGGCTGTGCGGGTGAAGGGGCCTTCTCCACCATCCTAAGTATGGTACTACGGTGGCATCGACGCCCCGTCAGTTCACACACGGGTTGTCTTATGTCCCGTCGATGCACACTGCCAGGCAGTATTGCTTCAAACTACAAGAGTCCTCCTCAAGGGCCCTTGGTTGGTCCTTGGAGAGTCGTACCAGGACGTTTCAACAATGAAACAACTCAAACACCTATTAGCTACCTTTCCACCAATTTTTGTACATTTTCGGCTCCTAAAAATTAGTCAAATAGGTTAATGCACACTAACATTCTTGTGACCAACTTTCTAGACGTCATGGACGTTCTTGAATAACTTGGTTCTTAAACACCTTGAATGACCTAAATTCATTTAAATTGAGTTAGAAACAGTGCTTAGACCTTGTTACACAAATGTTAAGCTTCATAACACGTCTAGAGTTTTCGAAGTGTTATAACAAGAGGTAGGTTGAAAACAACCTAGAATCTAAATATGTACTTATGATTTTATATGTATGTGTATATATATATATATATAAAGTGAGGTTTCTATCATATGATGTGCTATGAAAGTTTAAATTTTCCGTTAAATTTACTATGACAATGCGATGAACGATAACTGTGGGCTTGTATAAGACCTCTGAGAGGTAAAGTATGTCATGTTACTTCTAGGGTGTGCTCCCCGGACGTGACAATATGTTGACATAAATCAATGGGTACATGCTTTCGATAGGAAAATTTGAAAGATAAAGATGACTAGGCTTAGCTTTAGGTGAAAGTAAATTCCTTCTCTGGCAACTTACCCCATATCAAATGGGTTCCTCTCGGACACTTACTCGTCTAATGAAAACCAGTCTATGTCTTACCCACACCCTTTATTTTGATGAAGAGTGATAGGATATGGGGCTATGGCTCACCCTCTCGGGCTGAGCCTTATATTGCCCCACTCCTTAGGTCATCAGTCTGGCGGTTTTGGTTTCGCGACCTCTACTCGAGCAAGCCAAAATCACATGGATGGTTTTGTTTTTTAACTACAAACTCATTAAATTAATCCACAATCACTAGGTGAAATCACCATAAATGCATCTAATCCTATCAACAAAAAATACCCAATAATAAGATCAACACATATTCGCTAAATCACACCCCAAGAATGAGGGGTTTTAGCCAAAAATCAACCAATAATCAAATACACTTAAAATATTAAACCTTAATATGAGCAAAGGAAGAACAACAAAGAAGACCATTTCCAATTTGAGGAAGAATAGCTAAATTCTTCAAGTCTTCCACAAAACCCTCTCCAAACATGAGAGAAAATACAAAAACTAAATTTCTAAAAGTGAAAATTGATAATAGTGTTCAGACGGTTTAAAAATAACAATTAAGTCTAGTATTTATAGCTTTCAAATTAAGTGTTGGCGAATTCATTCAGCGAGGTTAGTTGTGAATTGCCGAGTGGTTCGGCGATTCACCCTTCTTCTTGTTCATCATCGTTTATGTTTTGCCTTCATCGTCTATGCATATTGTAACATTGAGCGGAATAACTTTTCTTATGGAATTATTCAGCGAAGCACCGACTGCTCCTTTTCATCGCCTTCTGAATCCACTTCCTTCAAGGCTTCGCTTGCTGGAAAAAGGGTCAAATGCATCCCATCGGCAGATCGTCAAGTGTGTTTTAGGATGCTTAGGCTTCAACTTCAGCTCTTTTCATCCTTTTCATTCCCGTTTTGCGACTAAGTCTCCATCTTACACCAAAACTTCAAATACCTAAAATTTAAGAGTTTTCATTAAATGTTGAGATAGAATGAGAATTTGAGGACACTATTTATATTAAAATAAGGTCCTAAATGAGTTCAATTTGTTGACTCATCACTAAACATGAGAAAAATCATGAAATTACTGTCATGGAAGAATTTCGCAACACGGAGATGCTTTTAAAATATTTCTCCAAAATTTAATTTTGAGACAATGAAGTTCGCGTCCTAACCGTGACGCGGAGCTAATTTTTGTTCACTGAGGGAACTATGCAGTCCGGGTACCTGTTTCTTGTCCGACTTTTTCCTCTTCATTTTCCAACCCCAATTCGCCTAAACTCGACTATTGTTCTCATTCTGATTACCAACATATGTACTCAAGAAACTAATTCAAAACAACTCTAAAACTCAACTTAAAGATCTCAGAAACACCACAATTCAGCCCAATTCAAAAACTGACATTCAAATTCAAGAATGCATGTTAAGAACAACAACATTCAATCTCTTTTAGGACAAATTTTACTGAACTAAACATGTTTGGCGCGTGGGGGAATGAACCCAACGCTATGAAAGACTCACATACTTTGTAAGATAAATTCCTCGGAGAAATCCACCAAAAAATCGCACGATCTTAGGAAATCTTGAGTTTTTCCTCTCCTTTCTCCTCTTTTCTCTTTTCTCCAATCTCTAGCGTCAATTTTCAATTGACTAAATTGATCTTATTCTGATTTGACTCTTAATTAATTCACTAAAATGAATTAAATTTATTGTTTAAGGAAAATACTACTTGACCCTTCAAAAATTTGGATTAACTTTCCTTAATCGCACAACCTAACTTTCAATGGGTATAACTCACTCATACAAATTCAAAATTGCGTAAATTCGACGGTGTTGAAAGATTATTCCAAGAGTTTTCTAACCATATCTGAAAGTATACCCAACATGTTCAGATATGGAAGTTATAACCGTTTGAAGTTGACCAAAAACTTCACTTTTTCTAACATTAACAAATTTTAATATTATGTTATTTTCAAAATGACTATTTCTCATTCTAAGCTTCTTTCTAATTATTTAAATTTGCGAGATGTTACAATTATACTTTTTCACAAGGCATTTCACATAGATAAAATATTTCACCGTTGACAAAAATTAAATAACAAACTATTATAAATTAAAAATTAAAGTATTATTATCCCAAAAAATTATTAAATTATTTTTCTTACAATCCACATGCCTCCCCCCTCCCCAACCCCACCACCACAATCTTCTCTTCCATCCTTTTATTTTTTTTAAAATTTCATTTATAAAATATTCCTAAAAATATCATACTTCACTCTCTACCCCTCCCTTCCCCCAAACCACCCACTCATTCCCTCCCCCCCCCCCCTCCCAAAAAAATTGATATTATTTTATTTTAAAATAAAAAATCTTCTACCCCCATACTATTCATCCATCTACTTCTATTTTTATTTTTTTACTTTTTTTTTTGTATTGGATATGCGCAAACATTTTTTTCAACTTGTGCATTGAATATAACACAAATAATTTTTTTAAAAAAAAAATCTCGCTGTGACAAGTAAAACTTACTTCCCTAAAAAGACATGTATATATAACGAAAAATCAGAAAAATAAATGAAAGTTGAAGATTAGGTGGCTTGGGATAGAACTATTTTATTTTTAAAAAAAAGTAATTATATCTAAATTATCATTTGGAAGGGGGGGGGGGATGAAGTAAAACATTGTAAAATACTGAAATGTAAGCAAAATAAAGGTAAAAAATGTGGAGGGGTGGGGGTGGGATGGGGATTACGGTGAGAGAAAGTGATGGAGTGAGGTACATTTTATTTGATATATAAAAAAATATTTTTATAGTACAATAATTCTTTAATCTTTAATTTAATAATTTATTTAATTTTCGTTGTATAATATGTTGTGATATTTTTTTTTTAATAAAAGTGAGAGGGTAAGTATACACAACATGAAGAAAGTGTAATAAAAGAAAGATGTGAGTTTCTTAAACTAATAAATGATAGTTTAAATATGACATTTAGTACTTTAATAGTTTAAGTATAAAACTGGAAAAAAAAATATGTGTTTTGACATTTTATGTCATAATTTTATATCAAGGCCAAATACATACGCAGGTCCCTAAAGTTGTTCGCGTTTTTCCCCAGGTACCTCAACTAACCAAGATTCCTATTAAATCCTTTAACCCCCTATAATTTGATCCTTTTAAATATTCTTGGCTGATGTGGAGCCAAATTTTAATAAATTATTTTTGATAATTAGGCGCGTGAGATGAACCTTCCCCACGTGGAAATTTTGACCAATACACTCCAACCCAATTACACGTCAGTGCCACATATTAAGTCATCAATATGTGGCACACGACGGCGACGGCGACGGAGAAGAGAGAGGAAGATGGGGAAGTGACATAGAGGTCACCGATTAGAGTACATAGGAAGAGGCAAAACACTGGAGATCTCAATGGAGTTAGAGAGAGAAGTTTTCGGTCTCAGACGGGAAGATCGGCGCCGTCTCCGGAGAAAAGAAGGTCGCCGGCTTCGTCAAGGGGAGTACATGGGAGGGGAATGCCGCAACAAAGGCGTAATGTGGGACCCCCAAATGGACCCCGATGCGGTCCCAGCGAAAATGGGGTTCGACGGTCAAATTCTCCGGCGAAACGTGGACCGGTGGATGCACGTCGGAATGTGAGAAACAGAAGTCCGGCGGCGCGTGAAACAGAAAAACCTGGTAATCAATCGCCGGCGAGAAACGCCGAGAATGAGGGAAGTAGTAGTAAAACTGAAAAACCCAAAGAAGAAGTTTCGCTGGTAACTGGCGAATCACTTGAAAATCCTCTGGTTTTAATGGAATGCTTCATTTTTAGGTTTGATGACAAAAACATATTAAGTCATCAAACCTAAAAATCAATTTCCCCCCAAATCACTTCTAACCCGTTTTTAAACGAGAAAACCCTAAGAATCTCTTCCTTTCAATGACTTTTACAGTTGAAATTCTTAGATTTTAAAGTGATTTCGAGTGGATTAAAGTGAAATTCTTAGATTTTAAAGTGATTAAAGTGATGAAATTCTTAAATTTTAAAGTGATAAAAGTGAAATTCTTACATTGGAACTTGATGATTAAGAAGAAATCAATGAAAAAAAGATATAATATAATAAGCTAAATAGGAGAAATAATGATGAAGAGAAACAAAAGAGGAGAAAAAATGGAAGAATGGAGAAATTAGGGTTAAAAGGGGGAAGAAGTTAGTTGGTGGGTGGTTCAAGATCCACATCAGCGCTTTAAAGAGTCTGCACGCGCTTAAAGGACGTGAGATCACGTTTGGCTCCACATCAGCCAAGAATATTTAAAAGGATCAAATTATAGGGGGTTAAAGGATTTAATAGGAATCTTGGTTAGTTGACGTACCTGGGAAAAGCGTGAACAATTTTAGGCACCTACGTATGTATTTGGCCTTATATCAAACTGTTAACAAAGATATTTTTATTCAATTTAATCACATTTTAATTTTTCTGGAAGAGAGGGGACTAAAATGTAGTAATTGGAGATATGTAATTGTATATAATAGTGTTTTGCGGCCCTTATCGTCTTGTTTGTGGAGTGAGAGTGAGTGGGTATGGAGCTTCATTTTGCAGGCGCATCGTATTTGATGAAAGAAGGTATAAAACGGCGAGGTTTGATTATCAAATCATCAAGCAGTAGTACTTCACAAGGGCTGCAGAAATGTTCAAAGAAAAACCTTTCTCGTATACTTAGAACAGAAGCCGCCATTAGAGGTATCCACAGGAAAGCCAACTCAGAAAAATACACTAATCTTTGGCCCAAGGCCGTTCTGAAGGCTCTCGATGATGCTATTAGGGACAATCGCTGGGACTCTGCTCTTAAGGTTCCATTCCGAATGAATTAACTGTTTTTTTCATTCTTGTGAATTTCTAGGACTACCGCACTATTATAGAGCTTAAACACTCAATTCATTTCTCATGATTTAACCTTCCTCGTGTCTCCAGTATTTTAGATTCTGATTCATGTCAGAAAATTTCAAGCAGTGCTCTTCTTACCTATTGCTCTTTTAGCAACAGGAATGCTCAATGTGACTGGGTAATTGTCTGATGAACCATTCTACTGTTTCAACAACGTGAACATACAGAAATTAATAATATAGCAAATATTATAACATGCAGATAAAGATGCAATGCAATTTATTCTTTCTCAATTCCTAGTAATACATAACTAATCTTACCTCTGTATCCCTAATTTTCATTCAGCTCCGATGATTTAGATTGTCCATAAATATCCTTCTCTGTTGCTTCCTTGTATCAACTCGTAATTGTCCGTCATAATTCTTGTTCTTATATCTGGACATCCCCTCAATCTTCATGGCAGTCACAATGCCTTCGTATCACTGTTGTTAATTAATCTATACCTGTGCAGCAAGGGCTATGGCCTAAAATATTATTGTCAGATACTGTCTTCTTTGTCACAAAATCAGCTAAGTTTCACTTTCAAATAGTACAATTTGTCATCTTTCTTCATGCCTTTTAGTGAATTGATGCCTTCTAATTAATTGGTACAAATTTCTAAAAGACAGTCTTCAAACCCCTTCATTGCAAGACTTTCATTATTCTTCTGCTTATACACTTGACCACATGCTCGACTAGAATGTAGTGGAGGCTAGAAAAATGGGTGAACTATTGTGTTTTTAAGGTTCAATATTTTAATTCTAAACATGAAGTCGTAATTATGTTTCTTTCCTTTTGGGTTGCATTGTTTTCATTTATGAATCTTCCATTGCATACACGTGTCAAAGTCTATGTCCCAATAGTTTGGACCAAGGCTTAGTTGATTTGACTCACCCAGAAGCCTACATAGTTGTTACTGTGTTCCAAATAAAACTGTTGAACTCGTATTTGTTGCTTTAACAATTTTTCTGACAGCAATATGTTCTTCCTCCTAGATTTTCGACCTTCTTCGCAAGCAACATTGGTATGAGCCAAGATGCCATACATATGCTAAGCTTTTGGTAATGCTCGGCAAGTGCAAGCAGCCAAGTCAAGCTAACTTGCTTTTTGAGATTATGCTAGCGGATGGGCTTCAACCAACAGTAGATGTTTATACTGCACTTGTAAATGCATATGGTCTTAGTGGCCTCCTTGATGAGGCTCTGCGAACTATTGATGATATGAAATCAGTTAGTAATTGCAAGCCTGATGTGTATACTTACTCGATCCTAATTAAATGCTGCACTAAAGTTCGTCGTTTTGATATGATTGAATACATTTTGGCTGAGATGGTGTATTTGGGAATTGAATGTAGTTCTGTGACATACAATACCATAATTGATGGCTATGGTAAAGCTAAGCTATTTGAGCAGATGGAATGCTCCTTGACCGATATGATAGAAAATGAGACTGCCTTTCCAGATGTTTTCACCTTGAATTCAGTAATTGGGTCCTATGGCAGCTGTGGGAAGCTTGAGGAAATGGAGAAGTGGTTTGAAGAATTTCAGGTAATGGGAATAAAGCCAGATGTTATGACATTTAACATTTTAATCAAGTCATATGGAAGAGCTGGCATGTACCAGAAAATGGAGTGTGTACTTGATTTCATGAGGAATTGGTTCTATTCTCCAACAGTTGTGACTTACAATATCATCATTGAGACATTGGGGAAAGCTTGCCTCATTAAGAACATGGAACAGTTTTTCCTACAGATGAAGCATGAAGGGGTGAAGCCAAGTTCATTCACTTATTGCTCTCTTGTCAGTGCGTATAGTAGAGCTGCACTTATGGAAAATGTTGATTCAATCATGAGGCAAGTTGAGAATTCAGATGTAGTTCTAGATACTCCTTTTTTCAATTGCATCATCAGTGCTTACGGTCAAGTTGGTGATATAGAGAGGATGGTGGCATTGTTCTTGGAAATGAAGGTCAGAAAATGTAAACCAGACTACATCACATTTTCTACCATGATTCAGGCGTACAATTCACAAGGAATGACTGAAGCTGCAATGGACTTGAAGACAGAAATGATTACTTCTTGTGGTACTTGTACTATGATTACTTCTTGTGGTACTTGTACTATTTAGCCTCTGTTTCTCCTGTCCATATCATTTTGCTTCATAAAGTATGAATCCTTTCAGACTCAAAGTTTGTATCATAAATTCAGCTATTTAGGTTAGCTCTATGATATTTCTAGCTAAGTGCAGATGATAATAAAAGGAAGTAGTATTTGCTAAACCAAGTTATCATTTAATGAACTGCTTGATATCTGACACTTTGTTGTTACATTTTATTAGAATCAAATGAATTGATCAGCAGCTAGTACAATCTATCTGCTACCGAAGGGAACCGTTCACTTGGAATTCTGTTCATCAATCTCAATGTTGTGAAAGTGGGCAGAGTGTTATCTGCATGTGAGCTTGTAAGTCTATTTTCTCTTTCACTGCCTTTGAGAATCCATCTTCACTCATTAATTGGCCTAAAACTAAAAGGCTTTCAAGCAATCAAAGTGATGAGCCAAAGTTGAAGGGCTTTTATGAACTCAAACATCTTGCTTTTGGTTTGTAAGACTGAAGAGTTAAACTTATTTTAAGATCTAAATTAAGTTCCTCTCTTTTTGTTTTTTGGATGTGAAATATTGTTGCTCTTGCTAATTCTCTCTTTATATATACACATATCGATTTAGTTACTTAATGATAAATGTCATATATATTTGAGTTTGGGTACTTCATTGTAACAATGATATCTGTTTGTGTAGAAGGATGATATAGAAATCCGTTAATCAGATGGCATGGATCCAAGGAAAAGAACATTGTGAGTCTACTTGCAGCAATGTGATTTCTCTTACATATTTCTGTGAACTTTCGACGGCCTTAACCCACAACTAGAGAGATTTGCAGTTTCCAAAAGCTCTTGTTAGTTGTTAGGGAATAGTGTGGTTTAACTTCTCTGAGTAGCTTTCCAGTTTGTTTGCCTATGTATGTTATTTCTTGATTTCTTTTTTTCTTGTATTAGCATATGTATCTACAGGTAAGAGAGGGAGGGAGCAGTTAAAGTTCTTCTGCTTACTATGTTCACGGAACAGCCAAACGTGCTGTGATGTCTGTAGTTACAACCTGTGGGTTCATATTCAGTTGAAAACCTCAGTTATGCTTGGGTGAATGAAGATTTTATCAGTAGTGGGTGATTACGATGGATAATTAACTCCTCGGTTACATTGAGGGTCTACACTATTTCAGCTGCCACTGTGGGGTTGTCTACTGCAGTACTAATAGTCATGCAGCAAGGCCTTTTTTTTTACTAACCAGAGCTGACTCAACCATACATATGGGTTTTGAACAGGTCAGTGATTTAACAGGACTGACTTCTTTCGAAAGAGCAAAGCCATGGGAAAGATAGAGCATTATTAGGACACTTGCTGATTCTTCCTTCTAGTCGGTTTGTTTTACCTCTTACTGGTTGCAAGTCTTGCGCAACAGATATATAGAGCAATATAGTGTAAGATAGTTTTACCATTTTTCAGACCCTCGCCATTTCACTTGTTACTGTGGAAATGAATTACAGCATTATGTTTGATATACTACTTGAGCAGCGGGTGAACATCACTTATTTTACTTTGCTTTCTTAGAAGTGGATTAAAATGTCCAGACACCGTTTGACTTTCTGTAGAGCTGCAATCGCCAAACGACCTGTGGATGGATGGACCTTATTACAACACGTATGTACAACCACTCCAATTTTTATATTGTAATTGGAGAAGTTCTTCTACTTCAAGCTTTTAACAGTGTCCTTCAAACTGACCTCTAGAAGAGTGAAATTGATGCCTAAGCTGTTTCCCCATTCTAAGACCGGAAAGGTGGCACCATAGGCAGCAGCTCCTCTTTATACCTAAATGCCACATTCAAGAATTTGAGATACCAAAATTCTCAAGATAGTTGATAACTTATACAAGTTAAATTAAGCTATAATGAATGAAAATGCAGTGTCAGTTTCTTATATAATTTGAAGACTTCAA